CACGGCTGAGCGTAACGAGAACGTCGAAAAACATGCGAGATCGAAGTAAGAAATGGTCGTTGAATACTTGTTTCGAATGTTTCGGAAGTACTACGCAAATATTAAAACAATGAAAACTTATTAAAGTATTAAAGTAAACAAAACAATTGTTTTGGACAATCACAGTATGTAGTTCCATATAACAAATATCTTCGATTATTATGCTGTATTTCCGTGTTAAGAAAGTATTTAAAACATACGTAAATATTGAAGCAATAAAAATGTATTGGAAAGAGCTTGTTTCCTTGGAAGACTTTTCCACCCACGCAATATAGTCAGTTCGATACACCTACATCTGATTGATGTAGAACCTCGTCAAAATTTAAATTCCTTTCCTCATAAGTTATCCATTTTTAGAGTATTCATTGACTCGTTCCTAGTTTTTTGTACTTCTAATAGACAGTACACTGTGACACATTTATGAACTTTTATAAGTTTATAATTTGTGTGTAACACTGAACGTTGGAATGAAACATTGAATAGTTTATCGTTGTCATTGTATATTATTTTCACCCCAACTGGCTTAAAAATCTTTATTAAGGAATTTTCTTCCTTTAAAGAAGCGAAGTTTTATCAATATTTTGCATGCAACAGAAGTCTAAAAAAAATTACAATTTTTATGATCACAGATTTTTTGAAAGAGACAAAATGAGAATTAAGAGCGTGACTATTGCCCTTGTTAAATTATGATAAATATTCAAGAAAACTGTCGTATCTGGAGCTACGTGGCGCCAGACCAACAAAATCTGAGACGCATTAGATCATAAATGGCTGACTGTTGACGCGCAACTTCATGGTCGTAGCTTATCAAACTTCTCTCAACTACACCATTACAAACTTGCACCGGGAACCGTTAACGTCTTTAGTACTAAACAGTGTTTACAGTTCCATTTCGACAAATTTCGCGATTTGCTATTCTCTTCGATTCGAAGTGAAAATATTTCATCTTATTTTGTGATGATAAATGAAACAAATACTTCTATACTGCATAATTGTATTCCCTTTACAGTGTTTGTATATTTGACCATATCAGATGATAAAAACGTCAAAATAGTGTACTAATAACGCACACATAATGCCAATTTATGAACAGATTATACATTTGACTAAACAATAGTTAAGAACCACAATTACTCGGTTAATCACTTTTATATTCCAAACGTTTTCACTAGCTTATTCAGAGCGAAAATTAAAACTCTTTAATCTTCAAATTTTATAGAAATTTATCGAAGCTGTAATTAATTAGAAATTATTTACGAGCCATCATATCACACATGCGTTTAATAGATTCATCTACAAGGAGTTCGGCCGCTCATGGGAAAAATTTTAATGGGAGATTCTAGAGGCTAAAATACGACGATAATCAAGAATATTAATTTGTTGATTGAGGCTTCGTTAAAAAGTTATAGAAACATTTCCGGCCACACAGTATATTTTCGGTAAAAAAATTTGTTCTCGAAAGTACGTAGGATTTGGGGGGTATGTCTATTCACCAAAAATGCTTGTAATTGACCTCTGTAACTAAATACAATTTTTTTAGTATGACTTGAAACTTTTTAATTTTGTCGAAAAATTTGTCCACTTACTCGAATTTTTTTTTCCAAACTGAGTAGGATTTCGGGGGTATGTCTATCTACCAAAAATGCTTGTAATTGACCTCTGTAACTAAATACAATTTTTTTAGTATGATTTGAAATTTTTTAATTTCGTCGAAAAATTAGTCCACTTACTCGAATTTTTGTTTCCAAACTGAGTAGGATTTCGGGGGTATGTCTTTTCACCAAAAATGCTTCTAATTGACCTCTGTAACTAAATATAATTTTTTTAGTATGATTTGAAATTTTTTAATTTTGTCGAAAAATTTGTCCACTTACTCGAATTTTTTTTTCGAAACTGAGTAGGATTTCGGAGGTATGTCTATTCACTAAAAATTCTTGTAATTGACCTCTGTAACTAAATATAATTTTTTTAGTATGATTTGAAATTTTTTAATTTTGTCGAAAAATTTGTCCACTTACTCGAATTTTTTTTTCGAAACTGAGTAGGATTTCGGAGGTATGTCTATTCACTAAAAATTCTTGTAATTGACCTCTGTAACTAAATATAATTTTTTTAGTATGATTTGAAATTTTTTAATTTTGTCGAAAAATTTGTCCACTTACTCGAATTTTTTTTTCGAAACTGAGTAGGATTTCGATGGTATGTCTATTCACCAAATATGATAGTAATTAACCCTCACAACCGAAAATAATTTTTCTAGAATGATTTGATATTTTTTAATAACTTTTTAACGAAGCCTAAATCAAGAAATTGATATTCTTGAGTTTCGTCTTATTTTGTCCTCTATAACCTCCCATTAAAATTTTTCCCAGCGTTGGCCGAACACCCTGTATATTCAATAGTTCATCCACATTTTCGTTAACAGCTTAAAGAAAACTTAAAGTGTGCTCTCGGAATTATCTGGAACTCTATTTAATTTCGAAATTTTACTCTGTGTAGTCCCATTCTATTAGAAAAGTATTGCAATGGGCAGTAAATGTAATACGGAGCTGCAATACAAATTTATTATTGCAGAATTGTAGTACAGATGTCCTTTAATGATATCTTTTCCTCTCGTGAACAGGTGAAATGAAATATTACTTCATTTAGACTTATCTTTATCGTGTCTGCAGGGAGCCACGGAAAAAACGTAATAAACGTTCAAAGAAACATCGCTATTATACGAGCCATTATGTACGATAAAAGATATTTTTCAAATCAAAGGTACTGCTAAGAATTCTTGTTTGCATCGGTGTCAAGAAATGTTTCTTGATAATTTATTTGGATTTCCATTTGAAACAGAATCGAAGTAGAAATTACAGAGCTAATTAAAAGATTAATGTTTTCCAATACTGCTGTTATTAAACTACTTATCCGAATTGTTCAATAATTCATTCACGCGGAGTAATTTGTACGTTCTCCGGAAAAGAAATGAAAATTACGTTGATCTGCAGGGGTATTTATTCTTAGGAAAATCGTCTTTGACGATTGATTTTGTAAAGCAACGAGATTCGTTGTACAAAGACACACGGTTCCTTGAGTGTTTTCAGACTTCGTAGCGCGAAAGAAATTGTGAAACGCAGAACGTGCCTGTAACGAAGGCGCAGCGCGAAAGAAATCGGGAGAAGAATAAGAAAAATCTTGGAATAATATTACGTAGCGTTGTGCAGTGCGTCTTTCCGGCCGTGTGAAATGTTCTCTCATTTTGGAGAGAAACAGAAACATTTGAAAGGAAGTCAAATTCAGCGGCGTTACGTCCATAATCGTGAAGAAAACGATTTCAATGGAACGCCGCTGGTTATTTGTTCGCGATGTTAAAAAGAAAACATTCCACAACTTGTTCTTTCATTTTTGAAATTCTCAAACGCGTGGGCGATTGGACAGGAAAAATTATGGTCTTTATAAACACTCGCGGGGACAAAAGTAAGGAAAGGTAGAAATATTTCAGATTTCTTACACCTTCAGCGTATTAAGTTTCAACTATAACGAAATATCATTTTTAGTCTAATAATCTATGGTCCCCGAACATAGCGAAAGCAATTTTATTTTACAATTTCATTCTAGTTTGTTGAATGCAGAAGAATCCGCAAACCTGTAAAATAGTAATTAGATCGATATAATGTACCTTTATTAAATAGTAAACTATTTTGTCAGTCCACTGACTGAATTTCATAGTTCAAATTATGAAATTATAATAGATCATAAGCGAATGAAAATTGAAACAAATACAAGATATATTTTCCTCACTTACAAAAAGACTTTCTAACGATGTATTAACACTACTCGATTTCGGCGGACAGTATAAAAATAACAAGACTAAGCAAAGTGTTTAAATTTATGGAATATTTTCTGAGATAACTTAACATAATCTGTCATAATAAATCATGACAGAGCTTAATATTTACTTTAAGTTATAATTTATTTAAAATAATGTTATAGAAACCAATGGACGAGGAATGAAAAAATCATAGAATCGTTAGAAATATCAAAGGTCGTGATAGATAGAAATTTATCATAATATCGATGAAATGGGAGCAGTTTAGGCTAAACTATTGGATAGGAGGTAGCATTAACATGGATACATATTACCAACTATTAATGACGAATTGATCGATGAAATTACACGAGAGTCGACAGAGGCTGACCAAACGTTAACTCATACTACTTAGGATTATATTTTCTCTTAATGGCCCACGCCTTTTCTTTGTTAATATCCTTAATATACTTAAATGTAAGATAAATGAACTGATCGTTCAAGAGAATCACGTCATGAGAATTTTGAAAGTATTTCAAAAACAATAAAAATAGATTTGAAATATTTTGGCATTTCTGACGTTACAGAAAACTTTTATTCAATGTTCAATATTTTGGAAAATACGTTTATACTTTTATATATTCTTTAATACTACTTTACGAAAAACAGTATAATGGGAACAACACGAAATGAAATTAATTTTACTTACATTTGTATTTCTTCTTTTGTTTCAATACATTTAATTGATAGTATCTCAAAATTGTTGATTTCCTTTTTGATTCAATTCTGCTTTCTTGATCGCTACTTTTATTGTACAAACAGAATAACTGATATGTAATCTTATATTGTTTGTTTTGTAGCGATTAAGTTAGAAAGTGTGTAATAAATATTCAAATAAAGCCACAGCATACTTTTATCCTTTAATAAAATTAGGAAATTAATCAATCATTTTTAAGGTTGATGGACATCGAAGAAACAATAAAAATTCGGTAGATAATAGATTTCTTATAATCCACGATGTCGTTAACCGGCGAATTTGCATTTTTTTTATTAGTGCCCATCGTTTATTTCAGTTGACAAAATTTTTATGCAAGTCTCTGATTTATGTTTTGTAAATATTTCCCCATCGAACGAAGAATAAAGTATTGTTTCTTTTTTCTGGTTGCAGGTGGAATTTTCGGGAAGGGCACCGATGAAGTTCAATCAGCGTTCAAATTTGCGATGTCCAATCACAACAAAAACACCACGAGTCGGAAGTTTGAGTTGCAGGCTTTCGTAGATGTAATTAGTACCGCGGACGCATACAAGCTATCCCGGCTAAGTAAGTACAAACTTCACCAATTCAAGAAATTCTCGTTATGTGTTTCGACGTGTTTTAGAAAATTCGGCCTTGAGAATAATTTTAAGACTCATTGGTCAGCAATTTGAAAGAATTTATTCTAAATTTCAAACATTGTTCAGCAAAATTCATCCTTAAAAATTAGGTAATAACATTCAACCATTATCACATGAGGCTGTTGGATAAAAATATTTCCAAACGCAACAAAAATATAGTATTTACTTTTCAGACTCTCTTATAGTTTCATGTGTTTTTTTCCCCCCAAACTTTTAGTCGCGCTTTTAAGAGGAAAATTCTCCAATTCTCGTAATCGATTTCTTAATGGAAAATTAGTTATCCCATCTCTATAATTCAATTACTAAAAATTCAAGAACAAAAACACAACTGGTTGCACATAACGACGGATTTAGAGCCACCGTAGCTTCCACGCTTCCTCCATATTAGAGTTAGTGTCCAAGTTCTTTTCAAACTGTCTTCGAGTCGAGAAAAGAACCAGTTGCTCTCGATAAACCTTATTAACGTTGTTCTTAATGAAACTTTCAAACGTTCAATCGTATTTTCGTCAAGGGTATCGTCAGCAAAGGAATTCCTATTTATGCGATAATTTTTTTTCGCGTAGTGGAATTTTGCCGATGAATGGTTGAAATCGATTTTACTTTGTTCCCGGTATCTTTCGTGTATCAGGGACGACGCCTGATCAACAATGCTGAGGTTCGTACGTGCCGGAAACGCGGCATCACAGCCGCCATTGAATCTGGCACGTCCGGAATCGGTGCAGCATGTGGGCTACGAAATAAGTAACGTTTCGCCCCTGTTACGACCGAGATACTAATCTCGATGCTTTATCGAAGCGCCTCCATTTCTCGTCTTCGGAAGTCATGCACGTACGACACACGACTCGGAGCCCTTCTTATCGTACAGAACCACAATCGTAGATATTACATCCACGATGTTACAGATAACACGAGTACATCGATCAGACCCAATATACCGTCTCATAAAATAGTAGGAATTCAAGCGTCACTTTCAGACACAGAAACTTTTATCGACTATTCTAGTACAAATAAATTACTTCGACTATAAAGGGTGCTCGGCTATCCCCTGGGAAAAATTTTCATGGGAGATTCTAGAGGCAAAAATAAGACGAAAATCAACAATATTAATTTCTTGACTGATGTTTCATTAAAAAGTTATTAAAAAATTAAATCAAAAGTTTCAAATAATTCTGAAAAAATTATTTTTGTTACGGGGCTCAATTACAATCATTTTTGGTGAATATACATACAACTAAAATCCTACCCACTTTCGAGACAAAAATTCGAGTAGGTACTGAAATTTTTAGACGAAATTAAAAAATTTCAAATCATACTAAAAAAATTATGTCTAGTTGCAGGGGTGAATTACAATCATTTTTGGTGAATACACATACCCCCGAACTCCCACGCAGTTTCGAGAAAAAAATTCGCGTAGGTGTTAAAACTTTTCGGTGGAATTGAAAGAGTCCAAATCGGTCTGGAAAAAATATTTTCAGTTGCAGGGGTCAATTACAAGCATCTTGGTTGAATAGACATATTCCCGAAATCCTACACAGTTTCGAGAAAAAAATTCCCGAAAAAATAATTACCGAAATTATAATTTCTGGCCAGGTATGACTGTACGAATTTTCATGCGAATCTTTAAAACATCATAACTCCTGAACGGATTGGAGGATTTCAATGTTCGAAACAGCAAACAACGCGTATTTTGGTCAAGAATGTGTAGACACTCTAACAATACTGAAGAAGTTGTTCCTTGACCCCGTAAAATGCGAAAAAACACCGTAAAAATGGTCCAATCTTGAAACGTCCATAACTTCTACAATAGTGAATATATTTCAATGAAACTTTTTTCTGAAGCAGATCCCATAGGTGCCTACAAAAAAGTATTAGACAACTTTTTTGTAGAGCGTTAAACAAATTTTTAAGATAAATCGACAGGATAGGTGCCTAAATTTTTCGGCGAAAAAAAAATTTCAAATCGTTCTGAAAAAATTATTTTCGATTGCGGGGACCAATTACAATTATTTTTGATGAATAAACATACCCTCAAAATCCTATGCACTTTCGAGAAAAAAATCAGTACGAACGAAACTTTAAACGTTAATAACTTTTTAACGAAGTCTCCATTAACAAATTAGTATTCTTGATTTTAGTCTCATTTTGGCCTCTGGAATCTCCCATTAAAATTTTTCCCAGGGTTGGCCGAACATCCTGTATTTCTTCCAAAGTTATACAAAATGACACTAATTAAGACGATACACCACAAAATTTCGCAAACCGAATTTCAGATTTTTCCATATTCCGACTCTTCCAATATTTAGCCTATTTTGTGCACCGAATGATCGAAGAATTTTAAAAACTTTACAAAACGGTATTTGAATTCCGAAAGGTGTGCATTTATTTCGTTTGAAGTAAATACGCTGCGATTTGTAACTTCGAATGAATTTAGTAAACGAAACGTATCGATTTAGTAAACGAAATATGGGCCGTTGAAATAGTGAAAAACCTTTGGCATCGAGTTACGATATTTTTATTGGAATTTATTGAAAGTGGGTTTCCAGATTCGATAAACTTCGAAAATTTGTTTAAACGCGAATTCGATTTTTGATTTATCGTATTTAGAAACGATATGGGACTTGATTTGTATATTTCTTTACGGTGAAACGCGTTCGTTTATTTATTTAAAAATTCAGATACATAGACATTTATTTCACGAAATAAATAAATATCAAATGAGACAAGCGCGACAATTTTTATCCCGTCTTCAAACAAATAGTGCTATGCTATCATCGTGGGGTAAACAACCGATTTAGTTTGAATGGTTCCTTTTAATAAATCTTAACTTTAGTAAAAGCTTGTAGCAAAATATTTAAGTACTCAAAATATATTTTTGTATATATTTACCCCATTTCTGGTATAAAAAAAGTATGAGTTAAAATTGACTCAGCTCGACAAGCGTACAGTTAAAAGCAAGAGGAACGAAAAGAAATATTGATCAACATCGCGCGAACATGGACGATACTTAAGTTCAGAATCTCGACACGAAATTGATCCCAAACACTTTCCTGTCACCGTCTGTGGATTCTGCACGGCTATTGTTCACTTTGTCGTGAAACGCGTAGATTCGAAACGCGAACGAGTTAGCCGGCCATCCGCAGGATCGTTTGACGCTTTCCAACCAAGGGGTGTCAACCGATCGAGCTGTTCTGGAATTGCCTTTGAAGCTGATCGAGTCCATTCTAAACCGTAAACGAATAGGCACCTGGGTGCCAAAGGTATCGGTGTTTTGTCATCGATGAAACCCTTACAGGAGTTCCGTCCAACAAAGCGACTGTAGCTTTCCTATTCTAACGTTAACAGATTCCGTTATTTGGCTCGATCGCTATGGCTGCTACCAAAAACAGAGTAACATAAATGCATTGGGCATTTGCAATACGAGAAATGTAAGAATTAAAATGCTAACACTTGAGAGGGTATTTTACAGTGAATATTTTGAAAAATCGATTCTTTGTTTTATAGTATGTTCGATAAGAGCGTGGACGTGATTAATCAGAAAAAAATAATTTTCTTCATAAAAAATTCTATACAAATCGAAAGTACAGCAGAGTTCCGATTATTCGGCACCCGGTTATCCGGAATGTCCGAATAACCGGCATACTTATTCCGACAATTCTTCATTAAACCAGCCAGCGGTGACGTCGATACTAAACAGTTGACGAATAAAGCATAGGAATTTTATATATTTTATTTTTTATTAATAAATTGTATTACTACATTACCCATGGTGGTGTTTAAAAAATTGACAGAGGAAAGTTGCACAAATTTTTTGACTAAATTAAAAAATTCCAAATCATTGTGAAAAAATTATTTTTGAATGCAGGGATGAATTGCAAATATATTTGGGAAAACACATGCCTCCGAAATCCTACTCAACATCGAGAAAAAAATTCATTACTGGAAATATAATTTGTAGTCAGAAATTTTCCCCCGAAATTTCATACATATGTTTAAGAAATCATAACTCCTGAACAGATTGGAGGATTTTAATGTTTCGAAATGCAAACAACACGTATTTTGGTGAAAAATATTTAGAAATTCTTAGAATGTTCGAAAAATCGTTCCTTAACCCTGTAAAGTAAGAAAACCCCCATAAAAATGGTTCAATCTTTAAACGATCAGAACTCCTACAATAGTAAGTGTATTACATTGAAATTTATTTATAAAATAGAGCTCATGGGCACCTGCAAAAAAGTATTTAACATTTTCGTAGAGCGACAAACAAATTGATTAAAAATCAAAAACGAGTGTTTAAGAAAAGTCGACAAATTAAACAATTTCAAATCATTTTAAAAAAATTATTTTTGGCTGCAGGAATGAATTACAATTATTTTTTGTGAAAACACATACCTCCGAAATCCTACTCAACATCGAGAAAAAAATTCATTACTGGAAATATAATTTGTAGCCAGAAATTTTTCCCCGAAATTTCATGCGTATGTTTAAGAAATCATAACTCCTGAACAGATTGGAGGATTTTAATGATTCGAAATGCAAACAACACGTATTTTGGTGAAGAATATTTAGAAATTCTTAGAATGTTCGAAAAGTCGTTCCTTAAACCCGTAAAGTAAGAAACCCCTTATAAAAATGGTTCAATTTTCAAGCGACCATAATTGTTACAATACTGAATGTATTTCATTGGTCCTAGCTCATGGCATATTTTTGGTCTTTACTGGATTGCTGATCTTGATGTCAACCTCATTGTTAACCATTTGGAACCATAATCCAACCATTGTTGACCATCGAATAACCGATAACTCATTAAAACCATCACAAAGTCGAAGATTACAGCTTTCTTACAAGGATCCCCTTACAATTTGATGCACGATCTTCTTAAAATGTAGTTCGATTTTGGAGGAGTGTATGTGGAGACTAGGAAATACC